CATAATAATCTGGCCACTCAGTGTATATATATATGTATATATATATATATATATATATATATGTATATATATATATATATATATTATACACACACATACTGTGTTAGTTTCCTACCATAAAAATACCATGGATAGACAACAATACTCTCCTGGAAATTGTGTTACGGTTCTACGTTGAGAAACAAAAAGTTCCAAGTAATAAAGGTATGGACAGAAGAGGATTGATCTTGATGGTATACAAGTCTTCGTAGTAATTTTAAGCAGCATGCATATATTATGCAATATTCGGATTTTCAGCACTAAGGCTTTAAAACAAGGTATACACGGATAACTGCATAAAACTGCCTAACTGACCTCCCTACACCATCCTAGCCTTGACACATTCTACCTCTAATGTACATTGTTTTATACAAGGCAAACATATCAAATGACTGAAACTTTGTGGAAGTATGTGGTTTTCAGAAGACAACCACAGTTATTGAGAAATAAAATAGAGTGGAAGCAAAGACACAGCAAAGCATAAAGAAGAAAATTTCACACTGAAAATATTTAAATTTACACAGAGGAAAAAAAAAAACTAACACTACTTATGATAAAAAAAATTGATAAGCATGTGAACTTAAATGCACAAAGGTGACAAGAGTAGTGTACGTTGTGGTCATTTGATTATTGTGGTATGCGATTCCTTTTTCCTTTTTGTTTAAACATACAGATACAAAATTGTAGCCCTTGTCAGGTACCCACGAGAATGAGCTAGGCTGCCTAAATTAATCTGATATAAGTGAAAAATCTAGCTGCTAGTCTGGATCGATTATAGTGAGACAACTCCTTCCTCAAATATTTTTTTTTTAATTTTTTTTAATAAAAATCGACAGGCTTAATATTATTAACATATCTAAAATACACAAATGTATCTTCATCAAAACAATTTATCCTTATCAAAAATTTCTGAAATATTTTTGCTACTTTTAAGCTTTTTTTCCCTCTGAAGAAAATGATTGTCAGCCACTGAAACAATGCTTTCTTTTAGGGCTGCGGAAATTAACATTTAATTCCTCGATTAATCGTTCATTTCTTTGATCGGTACTCACCTCTCCGCCGGCTTCCGGGTCTTGTGGGAGTCCCATCGCAGATCCGGTGACGTCACGGACATCGACGTCACCGAACTCCTCCCCTCTTCCGCAAGTGGCTCTGTCGGCTAACGAAGGGAAGGGGGAGGAGTCTGGTGACGTCGATGTCCATGACGTCACTGGACTCCTCCCCCCTTCCCTTCGTTAGACGACGGAGACGAAGATTAAGTGTCACATGACCACAAATTTAGATAAGTAAAAGGGGCTTTTAGGTAGGTTTTTTTTTAACTAAACCCAGCAATTAGTTAGACGGGGTATGGGTTAAAGGGTGGTTGTATGGGATGGGGACGGGGGTCCCAGAAATTAGCTTAAATAGCATCAGGGAAAATTGCTGGAAATGTATTTCTTTTTTAAATATTAAAATGAACATGACAGCATGGCTTGCCAAATTTATTTCTATTATGACAAAGCCCTGTGTCCTTAATGTACCCAAATTCAGCGCTCCAGTTCCAGCAAAAAAAAAAGACACACCAGCCCAAACAATGTCATCATTAAACTTTTACTGAAATATCAAAAAGATAATGTTTATAACACAATCCTATTCATAAAAATTCTACATAGTTCAGTGACTCATGCTATGCTAAATTTACCTCTTCTCCCATGGACCCCATGTATAGGCCACTGTAGTTGGATCTGTATGTGCGTTATAATTAATCGAAATTAATCGATGAAAAAAAAAATGATTAAATCGAACACGAAAATTTTAATCATTACCAGCCCTACTTTCTTTACATAAATATTTAACCATAAAAAAGAGAAGAATAATAGGTCCGCTGGAAAACTATATGAAAGTCATCCAGGCCACAGTGTTACTATATATCAGGGGTAGTGAATTAAAATTCAAGGAGGTCCGGTGAATAGAATTTTCATTGATCTGAGGTCCGAATTGCGGATCAGACAGAACAGTCACTCAGTTTGTGTCCATATCGTAGTCCATCATTTAGGATGCATTCACAGAAGCAGCTGCACTGCAAGGTACAGCTGCTGGTGTGTGTTCCCAGGCACAGTGCTGATGTGCCGAACGCAGCACATCGCACTATTTATTTTTTACGTTAGAAGTTGTACCCCCACTTAACATTTACATACGCATGCATTCCTTACGCGGGCGTGTCCATTAGAATCAGATGGCGGGGGCGGCAGGGTTAGTTTTCATTTTTTTTTATTTTTAGTATTTGTATTTATTTTTAACTTTTGCTATCACAAAGGGGCAAGCAAATGTGACAGCATTTGGAGGTGACAGTTCTCTTCCTGGAGACCAATTCCCCTGTCATCTCTCCTGCCCTCCAATACAGACCATCAAGCACAGGAATGTGCTTGATAGTCTGTTTTCCAGACACTTCAGCCAGCTGAGGCAGAAAGCACTGAGAGCAAAACACTTCATGTTTCAGTGATCACAGAGCAGATCAGGGAACAGACGCTCCTCAATCTGCTCCCGCTCTCCATACTGACACTGTGTGTCCTGTCCCGGGCTGCAGAGAGTAGCAGGGGACAAAAAAACCATGATGGGGAGACGCAGGGAGGCACAATTATGGCTAGTACAAGTGATCTGGGTGGCTGTATAGCCCCCCATATCACTTATAGTTTATCAGCTGGCCATGCCTAATGTTTTGATTGAAGTGACTGAAGTGGAGAGAGCCCTGTGCACGGTTATAACTGGAAGTATACCCACCATCAGCCAGCCATAACCCAACACAGGTCAGAGATCGAGGTCTGGACAGAACCACCACTGGGTTCGTGTCCAGACCGAGGTCAGCCATTTAGTGGCCCATGCTATATATGGTGGTCAACAAGACCACTTTGTTACTACCTTTTTTGCTGAATGTCTAAAAGTGGATCTTGCACATTACTGGATGTATAGTTGCTTACAGTATGGAATAGTCACCTTTATAAAAAAATATATATTATATATAAATATGTATATACACATATATATATACACACACATACATCAGTTGCTTCTATAGAGTTCCTAACATATGGTCATGTTGGAAAACATCAGTTTTTATTTAATCTGTTTTAATAAAGTACATAAACCTAGATTTTTTTTACACCTATATCAGAAATAAGTATGCATTTGATGTTTGGAAGACATGCAGATGGGCAGTGTAAAACAAAAGATTATTTGGTGTAGTGTAAAGAGAGCTGTATACTGTATACTCACCAGCCCACTTACTGCAACCACCAGCATGTATGGACTTGAGGTCAAAAGCTGAACACAAGAAATGAAACAAGTGTTAAAATATTCCTGGTTTCATCTTTCTAGTAAATATAAGCAATTTCAGTTCTTACTACATAGATGAGATCATTAAAATGTCAAAATTTTTCCATTTTTCCATTTAGTACTTACACATATATATGAAAATCTGCATTTCTTATGTGTATAACTTGTGAATTTCATAAAAATAATAAAAAAAACACACACAAAAACTGTTAACACAAATTTCTCTTCAAATGTAACAATTTTTAGTATCAATGTCTACTTCGAAACTGGAAAAATTTACACAACTTGCTGTTTTAAAAGTCCTAAACCCCGCCTAAGAAAAGTACATGTCAATCGTTTTCTGCACCTGCTGTCAACAACGCACAAGAATTACGGCTTTATAAAGCACAGATGCTGTGTAATACATGAAACCATAAATCCAAGTGTTATAAGTGCATAGATGTTTCAGAACATAACACTTAAAGCGACTGATACAGACCAAAAAAAAGGAAACTGTAAAAGAAAGGGTATTATACTTACCTGTCCAGCTTCCCCAGTCTTTATTATATGGCACATGTCTGGGTATGTCAGATGCTAGTTACTCACTGCCTGTTGTAGTTCCACATGCTGTTGATGCTGTGTCCTGCAGTGACATAGCAGATGGTAAGTAGTAAGTGGAACAGCGTTACTTGAGGATCAGGAATCTGACACTCCCGGAAGTGTGTCTGATGCTAAAGATACCTTGGCCAGTGTAGCTTATCAAGAAAGCAACGTTCCAAGGCATGGGATGGGGGACTGGTAATATATAATACTGCCCAATTTATTTAACTTTTTTTTCTCAAAAAAATGCTTTAAACTTTAGACCACTGAACATAAATTAGAAGCGAGTTTTAGTTTTGAAAATAAGAATATAAAAATGTTTAATATTTCTGGAACTGCATATATTTTAAAATGTGAGATTTGCGTGTGAGCTATTTAACTTACTGTCCAATTGTTTCTCAGAAAAGTACTGCAAAACTGTCCCTTTTATGTCTCATTTAGTCTTAAGCACAAACAAAGGAAATTACAATGCTCAGCTTTGAGAAATAAATGATAAAGATCTCAGTTACCATGCTTCAAGGTATATTATTAGTTGTTCTTACATATACATTTTAAGCATTTTTTTTCCACTAGAAGCCTTGCTCCACTGAAGCCACAGTGCTGTATCTTGCAATGATGAATATCAAAATACTTGATGTATATTGCAGGATGTATGGCTGCAATGAAAAACAGGTTCTTTGCCTTACCTATAAAATCTGTTTCTTGGAGTGCCACACAACCAGTGACACTACATGCGAGTGGAACTGGATGGGGATACTGAGGTACTGGTTCCTCATCAGGTCCACTCTGCTACTGCCTGACAGCAGGCAGTGGGCAGAGTCTATAGCCAATAGCCAGTTTGCTTTTGAATGTGCCCACTGCATGCACTCACGTAAATTGTTGTGCAAATGCACAACAGAATTCTGAAGAGTGTAGTGGACACTCTTTATGAATATCCGCCAGGGAGTTCATTCTTCAACAAATGGTATAGTCTCTCCTACTCTCAGCCTGCCTCAGTTTTGTAGCAAGCAGTACAAGAATGGATCACAAAACCCGGGGGCGGTCCTGTGATGTACTCCAATAAACAGATTTTACAGGAAAAACAAAAATCCTATTTTCTTGACCGTACATTACAGGCCACAGGGATTAGATTATTCAATGGATGAGATGTACAAAAGCAGTCTAACAGAGGGGTGGACAACACAGCAAAGTCTAGCAGGTCCATGAAAACACCAACCAACCCCAAAACGGAACCATAACAGAAGGGGTCCACATATCAGAGGGCTGCCTGAAGAGCCTTGTAGTTGAAGATTGCATCCACAGAGGCCTGAACATCTACCTGATAAATCTTGGCAAAAGTGTGAACAGAGGACAAGTTGGCAATCTTGCAGATTTGGAAAAATGAAGCCTGATGCTGAAAGGCCCAAGAAGTACTAATATCCCTAGTAGAGTAAGCCCTAAAACAGAAGGTGGGAAACTTTACCCTTCAACCCATAGGCCTGAGAGATAGTCAATGGAATCCACCTGGTGATACTGGAGTGAGAACCCTAAGGAATGATGAAGAGGGAGACAGACTTGTGGATGGAGAGATTTTATTAGGATGCTTTAGCACAGGAAATCATAATAGTAAAACAATGTCCTGGTTAAGGTGGAAGGCAGAGACCATGTTATGAAGATAGGCCTTAGTACTAGGGCTCAAAGGGTGGCTTCTGTAGTGCCAACAGAACTAAGCTGAGATCCCACGAGGTCACCTTGCACAACAGGGGCAGGTGCACACAGGAGGCACAACATGAGCAACCTCCTGCACAAGGAACTTCACAAGAGAGATGAGATGAAAGCAGCCTCTGGATATGAATAAACAGGGACGAAATTAGGTCCTTGATAGTACTCAAAGGTAAAAACACTGGTCTATGCCAGACTTGAAGAAAGATCTATGGAGTCCTGGATGAAAATTCCTCACTTCCCACCAAGTTAACTAAGCCTTTCAGGGAGGGATAACAGCTTCTGTCCTTCAAGACCTGTGCTTCAATAGCCATGACATCAAAGAAGCAGGGTGGAATACCAATCCTTGGGACAGAAGGTCCGTTTGATTCAGTAGTGCATAAGGTAAGTTAGCCAGGAGCTAGACTACATCTGCATACCACAATCTCCTGGGCCAAGTTGGGGTCAATGAGAATCACTGGGATGCCCTCCATCTCGATTATGTGAAGGAGGCAAGGCAAAACGTAGGTCAGGCTGAACTGGTCCTATGGGGTTAGCAAGTTAGCAAGGTACAGGGATCCCTGGTCCTCGGAACAAACCTGTGTATTGTTGAATCCACACACCAGGAGATCCACTTGAGGTGGTTCCCACTTGCAACAAAAGTCACAAAACACCTCCGAGTGCAGGGACCATTCTCCAGGATCCAGCCATTGGTGACTGAGGCCGTCTATGTCTGGGATGTGCATGGCGGATAGGGCTAGGACATGAAGTTACTCCCAGGCAAGGATCAGGTCTCCTTTTGTTTAAGCTGTATGACTTCTGGTGCCTCCCTGATGGCTGATGTGAGCCACTGCCATGGCATTGTCTGAATGAATTCAGGTTGGATGGCCCTGTAACTGGGGGGGTCCAGCATTCAAAATCACAACCAAATTGTCCTGAGCTCAAAGATGTTGATCAGGAGATGAGGTTCCTCGGTTTAATAGGTCTCTTGAGCTGAGAGGTTCGCCAGGACCCCTCCCCATCCAGGAGGATGGATTTCCCCAATTCCAATGTTGGGTTGGAGGTTCACTACTTTAGGGAAAGCTTTGTCTTGCTGGGCAAGTGAATGGGGGAAGTCCAGGGATTGAGCCTGTTTATCCCATGCAGCCAGAATGCTGAGCCGCAATGGGCTGCCTTGAAACTGAAGCAGAGCTAACACAGCGGCCAGCACCTCAGTGAAGGCACAGTGGACAGGCTGAATGGAAGGGCAACAAATCGGTAATGTTACATGCCCACAGCAAAATGCAGGTAGTGATGACAGTCAGAAAAAATTGGGATTGGGTGCAAATATGCAGCCTTTATATCCATTGATGCCAAGAGGTTTCCTGAGTGCAGAAAAGTGACGACAGAGTGGGTACATTCTAGCCAACATTTTTGGACTAGCAGAAATCTATTAGGGATCTTGATATCGGGGAAAGGGGGGTTTACCCTATCCCCTTGCTTATGGGACAGTGATCAGGTTAGCGGTTGAGCTTCCAGCACTGGGGAAAAGGGCAGTGAGAATATACAACCATCTTTGATAAATCTTTGTAAGTTTGACAGCAGAAAGTGAGAAGGAGGCATGGGGCAAAACCCCAATTTGAAACCCTTTGTGACAACGCTATGGACCCAGGCACCAGGAATGTCCTGCATCCAGGAGGCTGAGAAGGTTAATTGAAGTCCAGCCACTTGAGAAAGTGGTACCTATCCATAATGAAGAGGACGTTCACCAGTAAAAGGCATCCATTCAAGGTCATACAGATAAGGTCTGATGCACCGCAATTGTGGCAACAGCACAGCAGGGCCTGTAAGAGCAAATAAGGCCTTAGAGAGGGCCTCAAACCTCTTGTTCATGTGGTTATTGAAAAAAGAAACATCCCCTGCGGGGACCGTTAACATCTTGTTTAAACATGAAATGGCTGGATCAACAACAGGGACAGACCTTTTTTTTTTTTTAGAGACTGTCTTCAATAGGCTATTGTTGAGCAAACCATTTAGGAAGTGTAAACAGTTTCCCCGGTTAATCCCAGGCAGCGTAATACACCGGCTGTAAGCGCAGGTGTACAGGGAAGGTTTTGGCTGGTTTGGGCATTTTTTGGGAACCCAGACTAGTGACCTTTGATAGGGACAAAAGGCAGCTCTACCTGTAAAGAATCTTGCACCTCAGTTTTCATGCACTGGGTACTTTTGTATCTGCTGGTAAAAATGCACAAAATTGCCCCAAAACACACTCAATAGGAGATAAGTAAGTAACAGAAATGTACCTGTAATCCCACGATGTATACTAATGTTTTGTTTGTGATCGGAAACCACCCAAATATATGAGCCAAGGATACTTGTGGCACAGAACAATAAAATGGAACAAACAGAGCAAACACCGGAGCTAAACTACAGAAAAGGAAAAAAAAATATATTAGTCTACATTTTAATTTCTGTAAAAACATTTAAAAAACAACTAATTTATGCATATATGGTAACAAATCTATAATGTTAGGCAAGTTTGGAAAGGTGAATGGGACCAAAATAAAATTATATAAACATGTACTTGTAACATTACATAACACATTTGAATACATCCTTTCTATTATAGTAGTAATCAATTAATATTTTGAGATGAAAGGCATAACTATAGCTGACCATTATACTGTTATAAGGCTCAGAAGAACAGAAGACCCAGAGCCTATTTAAACAGCTATGAAAGCAATTATTATTCTTTATGATTATAGGATTCACCCACAATGGGGGTTGTGCATTAAAATTCAAGGAGGTCCAGTGAAGAACATTTTCGAGGTCTGAATTGCTGTCCGGGCAGAATCATTCAGTCACTCAGTTCGTGTCTATACCACAGTCCACAATTTAGACTGCATTGACACCACCAGCTGCACTACAGCGCACAGCTGCTGGAGTGTGTTTCCAGGAACAGTGCTAAGGGGCGCAGTGCATTTTTTTTGTTTTTAGAAGTCATCCTACCGTTTACATACACGTGCATGCCTTACCAGCATGAGTTCATTGGAATCAGATGGCAGGGTTTGCTTTACATTTTTTTTTTTTATTAAACCTCTTAAGCTGGCCATACACTGTAATATTTTCTTTGTTGAAGCCGGGTGCTGATCGAAGAAAATATTATATATTCCTCCATCAACACTTAAGAGTGTTAATCAAGGATTCTCCCACTGTTTGCTTTGCTTTCTGATAGCAGCCATTGTCAGAATATCCGAACAGAACCGGCAGCCGATTGGCTAATGGCTCTATTCGTTCGAAGATTTTACAACCGGCAACTTCCATCAGCTGGCCGAGGAATGCCGGCTGAAAGGGTGCCAACAGCGGCATCCACTGTGCGCATTTCAGCCGGTTCATCAAGAAAAGGCTAAAATTCGCATAGGGTATGACCAGCTTAATTCTATTAGACCCCTGATGTCTCTCCTGCTCTCCAATAAAGAGCATCAAGCACAGGGATGTGCTCGATAGTCTGTTTTTCCTGGCACTTCAGTTGGCTTCTGACAGCTGAAACAGGAAGCACCGAGAGCACAGAACATCATGGTACACTGATCACAGAGCAGATCAGGGAAGGGATGCTCCCTGGTCTACTCTCGCTCTCCAACCTGACACTGTGTGCCGTGGTCCTGGGCTCCCAGAGGAGCAGGGGACCCAAAAACTATGGAGGGGATGCAGCATTATCATGGCTAGTACAAGTGATCAGCCAGCCCTGCCTGACGTCATTGGTTGCTAGGACGCCAGTGGTCCTAGCAACCAATTGTGAAGCGGGGGGCTGCACTGGGTTATGGCTGGAAGTGGATGCACCTACCTTGAAGGCTGGTGTATCCATTGTCAGCCAGCCATAACCAAGCGCAGGTTGATGATCGCTGTCCGGACAGAGCCATCACTGGGTCCGTGTGTGGACCACAATCCTTCATTAAGTGACCCCTGGCCTACAAGATGTAGATTAGAGAGACAAAAGGGCCCCTTAATGGTTTTGTTAAAAGGCCCCAATAGTCATAGTTACTGCACTGTTTAGTACCAAATGTATTACTTCCTGTTTTCTTTGTATTTCATGATGCAATATTATTAACACAGATGTTTCTTTTGTTTCATATATTTATGCAACAGTGTAACACACTGCATTTCATATTTTCTTGTGTTGATCAGATCTTTTATCGCAACACAAGCCACTTGTTGATGAAACACAAATCATTAACTGACAGCAGCACACAGCGCTTGCACTTGTTACACCAACATGAAAGTGAACAGTTCAACTGGTATAAGCATTGGTATACTGCACAATCAGGTGCAAATTGTTCTGCTTCAGCCAAAGTGATCACACACAACATGTCCAGATAAAAGAAGAAGGGCTAACTCCTTACACATCAGTTACCTCTGGAAAGACTGTATCATGAGACATGGTCTAAAATGGCTAAAATCAAGACCTGACAATGCATCAGTTGGGTGGTAAAACTTGTCAAACCACTTACAAGTATTTACTTCATATTAAAACCAACAATGTACTAGTCACCAGATGCATGCACTATTTTCTCAATCGCACGGCAAAGCACGGTATTTCACACTGCGGGAGGGAGGTACGTTTGGGGTTGCCATTCAATCCCGAACTGTAATCCCATTGGAGGTGCATTGTACGGTACCATGCGTTATTCACACAGAACTTTGCAATTAATGTAACATGATGGTAAGTACGAGACCTTAATTTGAACCCGTGGCCAGGCTATGCACATTAAAAACTATATACGTACTGTATTTTAACAAGCACTAGATAGGCGTTAAAACAAGCCATCATTGACATCTGTAGCAGCTGCCAGTGTGGAGCAATTCCTGCACAGAAGCACTAAAGTTGTCCAAGTCCTTCTCTCAGTAGCTAAGCTAACCCTCCCCTCCCAGCAGTGACTCAGTAGCCTTCTAGCCTTGAAAATTCTAAAGTTAATACAGAGCAGATGCACTGAGAGGGGGCAAGGCAAGTTGAGCTGCCAAAAGAAAGACATCAATTCTTATGCTGTGAAATTTGAGGCTTATTCTGGATGGGCTGGTTTTAAAGCTAATTTTCAGTTTAAAAAAATATGCAAATGTGCACAGTCTGGCTACAATTTAGTGACATTATCAAACAAAAAAACAACAACTTTTTTTTGTACTAACTGTAAAATAGTTTTCTTCAAGTTCACTGAGGGACAAAGGATTCATTGTCATTTGGGCTATACTGAAGCCTACAGGTAGTTTTGGACACTGGCAAACAAAGGTGACCAGTCTGGTAACACCTCCCACTCTCTGCATTTATAAGTTTTGTGACAAAGCAGTGCTGAGAGTAAGTCAACAAACACAGAGGGGTAGGACCTGTGTCTCTCAAAGAACTTGAAAAAAAGGATGTTCTACACAGGATTCGCTGACATTTGAGATGTATGAAAGGTAGCCCAACTAAGGAGTGAACAACATAGCAGACACACTAACTAGCTCAACTAAAAAAAATTGGGGACTGTTTGTAGCTCAAAAAACACCCTGGCATCAGAAGAAGCTTGAACATCAACCTAGTTGAACTTAGAGCATGTGAAAAGAAGACCAGATGGCAGCCTTGCAGATGTAGAAAACTGTTGCCTGGTGCCAAAAAGCCCAAGAAGAACTAACAGATCTAGTAGCGTGTGCCTGGACAAGAAAGCAGATCCCAGTGCCCAAAGGTCACATTCCATGCAGGCAAGGCGGTCCAGCAGGGTCTGGGTACGGCCTACAAAGTTATTGCTGAAGACACGCCCATCCAGATAGCTGCATAAAGACACCAGCTCAGCTGATGTCTTGGCTGAAGAAAACAAATCTCAGAAAAAGAGAATATGGCTGGTAAAAATTGTTAAGCTTTTCTCAGTGGAGAAAGGACACCCTCCTAGGACACAAAAGTATGCTGGGAGTGGGAGGTGTTATTCCAGGCTGGTCACAGGCTTATTTTTTTCTGGTTTGCCTGGGTCCAAATCCCCCTGTAGGCAACAGTATAACCCAAATGTCAATGAATTCTGTGTTTCCCAATGAACAAACAAAATAAAAAGTGGTGCATGCCTGTGTGAATGTTTAAGCCATCTGTCAGTACGCAGTAACACGACCTTTGGCAGAACTCAAAGTTTCCAAACATTTCTTGTAGCCAGCCTACAGTCTTTCTTATCTTGCTCTAGGATTTGTTGGCAAATTTTAAAAATATAGTTGGCCTTCCATGCACTTAAACTCCCAGATTTAATTTGTGATGCCTGAAAGCTTCTTGTAGTGTTTACAAAGTAATCCACAACTTGAATATCTTGTGGTGAAAACCTACCTCGTTTACACCAAACACAACACATATTCACCACTTCAGGGTTTTTAATTGAAGTGGAAGTTCTGCAAAACCTTTTATATTTTAGTCATGGATGGGGTAAGGAAGAGTTAGAGCAACAGCAAAGTATTGATTGTGTTATAATTGGGAAAAATGTCCTCTCCTTTTTTGTCTTCATGGCCGCACAAGAAGCAGGCTCATCTCCAATAAGAACTTTGGCAGCAATCAAAATTTGACCAAAGTTCTTACCTTTCACTACTATCTGAAACAATAAAAATTGTGGTGGGAAAAAGGTACATAAAAACCCCTTCACTTAGGTTTTTCCAAAGGGAAATAGTGAATATATCAAATGTTAATAAATAAGAGGTTGTCTGCAACTTCTAACTGAGAGCATGTATGCCTTCTGGAAAAGATAAGTAACCTGGACTGATTGCTAAGGGGGTTATTCACGTAGGAGACGAAGGATCCAGCTGTAGCTTCAGCTGATCCTTCTGCTCTCTTTGGCCGACGGAGCCCGTACTGCAGCCGAACCGAAGGAATATGCTTCGGCTCGACTAAGCCGAAGCGGGGGCGAACGTCCTGCCGAAGGCCGGCTTTTCGCTCCGCAAATGACAGCTGGGCGGAGCCATCCGTGATCTCACGGCTGGCTGCGCTCTGTTGTAATGACAGATCCTCCAAAATTGATGAAAAAAAACACAAAAAGGAAACTGGTCTGGGAGGGTGCCAAGAGGCCTACAGCATCATTAAAGGACCTTCAGTAATTTCTGGCAAGTAATGGTGGTCTACTACATATGTCAACAATCTCCCGTATTCTACATATGCCTGGGCAGGGTAGGGTGGCCTTGTCTTGCTAAGAAAAACATCCGAGCCCGGTTACAGTTGCAAAACCCTACATCATGCCTGACAAAAGCATGTAGGAAAAAGTGTAATGGTTTTGGCACAAAACCTTTAGGCCTGAAGCTGAAGGTCAACTTTCAGCATGACAATGACCCAAAGAATAGTCAACGTTTTGGAATGGCCCAGCCGAAGCCCGGACCTGAATCCAATTGAAAATCTGTGGTGTGACCTGAAGAGGACTGTGCACAGGAGATGCCTT